GCCTCGCACGCGCGCATGCGGCTGCTGGGCGGACGGGGATATGGGACCGTGTGGGTGAGCGTGCGGGAGGAGATGGGAGCATATAGGAGCGAGCGTAAGCGTGCAAGCAGGCCTGTGTGTGAGCGTGCGTGAGCGTGCCCAAGCGTGTGTGAGCGTGCCCAAGCACGTGCGAGCATGGGTGGACCTGCCTGCGTGTGTGTGAGGGTGCCCAAGTGTGCGTAAGCGTGCATGAGCATGCACAGGTGTGTGCAAATGTCTGTGAGCATGCCCAAGCATGTCTGAGTGTGCCTGCACATGTGTTAGCGTGCCCAAGTGTGCATGAGTGTGTCTATGCTGGCGTAAAGGATGCCCAAACGTACAGGAGCATGTACAAGTGTGCAGAAGCATGCCCGAGCGTGCAGGAGTGCGCATGACTGTGTTCAAGAGGTGCAAATGTGCCCAATCATGATGAGTATGTGTGAGCACACTCAAGCATTCACAAGTATCTCCAAGCATGTGTGAGTGTGCATGAGCGTGCATGAGCACGTTCAAGCACACATGAGTGTGTCCAGGGGTGCACAAGCATGCATAAGCATGTACAAGCATGCTTGAGCATGCTGGAGGGTGCCCAAGTGTGCATGAGCATGCTTGTGCATGTGCAAGCGTGCCTAAACACGTGTGAGTGTGCCCAAGCGTGCCTGAGTGTGTGCAAGCATGAGCATGTCCAAGTGTGCACGAGCGTGCCCAACCATGCCCAAAGCATATCCAAACATGCACAAGCATGCATGAACGTGCTGAAGTGTGTGTGCACGTGTGTGAGCACATCGAGCACATGTGAGCATGCGGAAGCTTGCCTGAGTGCTCATAAGTGTGTGTGAGCGCACTCAGGCACGCATGAGCATAGAGTGCACCCATGAGTGTGTCCAAGCAAGCCCAAGTGTGCCCAAGCCCGTATGAGTGTGCACAAGCATGCCTGAGCACACATGAGTGCGCTCAAGCACGCCTGAGTGTACAACTGTGCCTGAGTGTACCTGAGGATGTGTGAGTGCACCAAGGAATGCAGGAGTGTGCCCAACCATGCCTGAGCCTGCACAAGTGTGCATGAGTGTGTGCAAATGCACCTAAGTGATTGTGGGCACGCCCAAGGATGCGTAAGCGATTGTAAGCACAAGTATGCATGAGCATGCACAAGCGTGCCTGAGTGTGTGCAAGTGTGCCCAAGTGTTCCTGCATGTATGTGAGTGCACCTAAGCATGCATGAGCATGCACAAGCACAAGTGTCAGCAAGCGTGCTCAAGTGCGCCCAAGTGTATGTGAGTGCGCCTGAAGAAACGTGTAAGCATGTGCAAGCACAAGTGTGCCCAAGCATGCCTGTGTGTATGAGTGCACCCAAGAATGCATGGGTGTGAGTGCAAACACAAGTGTACATGAGCGTGCCCAATCATGCCTGAGTGTACGTTAGCGCAGCCGAAGAAAGGCCTGGATGTGTGCAAGCACAAGTGTGTGCAAGCGTGCTGGAGCGTGCGCAAGCGTGCCCAAGGGTTCTTGCATGTATGTGAGTGCAAGCGCAGCTGTGCCCAAGCATGCCGGAGCATGTGCAAGTGTGTCCAAGTGTCCTTGCAAGTATGTGAGTGCAAGCACGAGTGTGCCCAAGTGTGCGGGAGCGTGCGCAAGCATGCCCAAGTGTTCTTGCATGTATGTGAGTGTAAGCACAAGTGTGCCGAAGCGTGCCCAAGGGTTCTTGCATGTATGTGAGTGCCAGCATGAGTTTGTGCAAGCGTGCCCAGGTGTTCTTGCATGTATGTGAGTGCAAGCGCAAGTGTGCCCAAGCGTGCGAGAGTGTGCGCAAACGTGCCCAAGTGTTCTTGCATGTATGTGAGTGCAAGCACAAGTGTGCCCGAGCGTGCCGGAGCGCGTGCAAGTATGCCGGAGTGTTCTTGCTTGTGTGTGAGTGCTGTGTGCGTGCACGGCAGCAGCCGCGCGCCGAGCGAGCGTGCGGGTGCCAGCCTGGGTGCCCGCAGGCTGCCGCTCGGGGGTGGTGGAGGTGGAGCGCAGCGTGACGGCGGTGCTGGGCCAGGACGTGGTGCTGCCATGCCGGTACCGGGCGCAGGAGCAGGAGCAGGTGGTGCAGGTGACCTGGCTGAAGCGGGGCCCGACGGGGCAGAACGCCGAGGTGGCCGTGCTCAACCGGCAGCACGGGGAGCATGTGCAGGAGCCCTACGCTGGGCGGGTGCTGCGGCGGGCGGACGGGGCGCTGGAGGATGGCGCCATCATCCTGAAGAATGCCGTGCAGGGGGATGAGGGTGACTACGAGTGTCACCTCATCACCTTCCCCCTGGGCAGCTTCGAGGGGCGACTCACCCTCAAGGTGCTGGGTGAGTGCCCGGGGAATGGGGCGGTGGGCATGGGTGGTGGGGAGGGGGCAAGGGCCATGGAGTTGTAGGCGATGGGCATGGGATCCTGAGGATGGAGTGATGGGGTGATGGGCATGGGGTGGTGGGGAGGGGGTGATGGGCCGGGGCAGTGGGCACAGGACAGCAGGTGATGGGCAATGGGCGTGGGGCAGCAGGCACGGGGTGATGGGTATAGGGTGGTGGGGAGGGGGCAATGGGTGTGGGGTGATGGGTGGTGGGGAGGTGGTGATGGGCACAGGACAGCGGGCAATGGGCGATGGGCACGGGGTGGTGGGGAGGGGGTGATGGGTGGTGAGGAGGAGGCAACGGGCACAGGACAGCAGGCAATAGGTGGGCGATGGGCACGGGGCAATGGCATGGTAGGCACAGGGCGATGGGGTAACGGCTATGGGGTGGTGGGCAACGGCGACAGGTGCAGGGCAATGGGCATGGGGCAATGCAAATGGGTACAGGGCGCTGGGCACAGGGGAACTGGTACTGGGCACCCAGTAAGTCACGCTGGGGACACGGTTGGGGCAGGCGGGTCTGGGGTCACCGGCACGGTGGAGCCCAGCAGCAGAGGCAGCACCCACAGGTGCCAATGCCGGCATGGGTCTGACACCGGTGCCCCCCGTAGTGCCGCCGCTGCCCATCCTGAACCCAGGGCCGCCGCTGGAGGAAGGTCAGGGCCGGACGCTGGCGGCCTCGTGCACGGCGGAGGGCAGCCCGGTGCCCTCAGTACGCTGGGAGACGGAGGTGCGTGGCACCAACGCCACGCGCCGCTCGGCGCACGCCCGCTCCGCTTCTGTCACCAGCGAGTTTTTCCTGGTGCCTGGGCGCAGCATGAACGGCAAGAGCCTGACCTGTGTGGTGGCCCACCCTGGCCTGCGCCACGAGAAGAGGATCACCCACCTCCTCAGCGTCGCCTGTGCGGCACTGGGGCATGGGGGGGGTGGAAGGATGAGGAGGGCATGGGGGGCACTGGGGATATGGGGAGCATGGAGGGCACAGGGGGGACATGATGGGCACTGGGGACATGGGGGTAATGGGGGATGCTGAGGGTCATGCGGGGCACGAGGGCCATGGAGGACGTGGGGAGGATTGAAGGACATGGGGGCCATTGGGGACATGGAGAATACTGGGGGATGCCGGGGACATGGGGGACATGGAGGGCACTGGGGACGTGATGGGCATGGGGGGCACTGAGGGATGT